CAGCATCTTTGAAAAGAGCCAAACAAGAGTTGTGGTTAGACTGGGACAGGTAACTGGACGTGTCAAAAGTTGAAATGTTGAATGTTCTTTGCAGGTCATGCCACGTACCCCAGAAAAGTGTAGCCATAATGAAGTGTGTGGAATGTTGCTTTTGCAACACTTGATGGTGTATACTATAAAAACACGACTGGTATGATTGTGGCATGCTTGAGGGACTGAGTATGTTATTTTGGGGTGAAAAGTGATCTTGATAATTCTAAATTGAATTTTATCACAGTTCATCACCACTAGTTTGTCAAAATTAGTTTGCTAACTTCATCTTTAAAACGGGGTGTGTGATCTTCCTTAGCTTTGCTCCTTATTTCTTTACAATACAAAATCCCAAACCCTGAAGCTGTGGCCAGCTCATTTGATTAATAAACAGATTTTACAATGGTTGCTTGGAACTAGATATCAAAAGAAAAAAAAGTCCAACTTCAGGTTGAAGTCTGAAGTCTAGTGAGAGGAACTAGAAAACAGAGCTCTGTTTGTGTGCACATGGTGTCAGCCAAGCACCAGGGCAGCTTTCTGACATTGTCCAGCAGTTGAAAAATCACCTTCAGATCTCTGTGCCCTTACATTAAGGGAAAAGGGAACAGGATGGTGTTGCCACTGGTAGCAAAATGCATTCTGCTGTCTTAGTGCTGCCTTGTGGTTGGTTAGATGGAATGGCAGTGTGTGCCTGCAGAAACAGCAGCTGCCTTCATCCCCTGCACAGCTCACTGCCTGTCACTTGTCCTGGTCAGAGAGGAGCTTGTGCAGCAGCAGGAGCCGGCTGCAGCAGGGGCACACAGCCTTCAGCTCCTGCACAGCACCTGGGTGGAGAGAGGCAGAGCACCTGGGTGGAGAGAGGCAGAGCACCTGGGTGGAGAGAGGCAGAGCACCTGGGTGGAGAGAGGCAGAGCAGCCCGGTGCGAGGGCGGGGACAGCCGCCACTAAAGGATCCCTCTGGGTCACTTTTCCTCCTCTTGCAGCTGGCTGGGCAGCGAGGGGCACCTCTGGCTTCTGCTGCTGCTTTCTGTTCACTGGCAGAGTGACAAAGGCAGATACTGAGCTCACATCTCTGCAGCCTCATGTACTGGACTTGGAGAATAACAAGAGGTGTCAAACAATGCTCCCTTGTAACCTCGATGTCTGCTTTCCTTCTGCTGTGCGTTAAATCCACAGCCCAGCGGAGTCCTGTTGGAAAATAGCACCTTGCTAACTCCGTGCTGTGCCTGCCTCTCTTTTCCCCATGGATTTCACAAAAAGAGAGCTCTGTCCCATATTTGTAATTGTTAATTCCCACTGTTGCTGCTCTCACAAGGATTGTGCTAAAGAGGTAAGTAAGAATTTCAGCTCTCTCAAGTGCTTGTAGCCACAGGAAAGTATTGTGGAGGTGAATTAGAGTTCTCTACAAATATTTTGAAGTGCTCTGCATTTGCATAGCTTGGTTCTTTAGCTTATATACTTTACTTTTTCCCCTGTAGTTTTTTTAAATGTAAATTTAAATCCTGACCATCAAGGCTAGAACATTAATTGATTCTAATTATTCTGTTATTCTCCACCTATGAGCTTCTGTTATTTTCCACCTATGGTTTTGTTCCAAATCTAAGTATTTTTCTTAAATTTCGAATGTCTGAGGGTGGGTAATACTTCACCTGCATTCATTTTGATTTGTTGTAGAAGTAATACAGCATTGATTGCACCTTCTCTAATGAAGTAAATGATATCTTCAGTATCTCCTGCATTAGAACAAAATATTAAACTACTGACTCAATAAAGTGGTGACCTAATGCGAAATACTACATGTTTCTAGGCAAAAATTGTAAAGAAGAGTTCTGGATAGCTTATACTTTGGGATTTAAAAGTTTCCTGGAAATTTAGTGTTTTTAAGAATACCTGCCTTTAGTTGATCAAATAACTGTATATGTTGAATTTTGGAACATGTTTCTTCACCTGGTTAAAATGTGATAAAATCACAAACTTCATCACTTGTAAGATAAGTGAAATACGAAATCTTTCTTATGCTTAACATACAAACTGTGAGTTTTTAGTTTGTATCTGCGGCTATCTACATAAATATCCATGTTTTAGAGGTATTCTCAAAATCTAAGTGTTCAGTGGGTTTGAAGTTGCTATTTCTTTCAAAATAAGCAGTTCTGACTGTCCCTCTGTGAGCCTGAGAGCTCATGCAGCAGTGTGGGGAGCTTCAGCTCACTGGGAGCTGCTGCAGCCTTTTTTGGTTGGATTTGTTTCAAGTCTGATCCACACTGTGATTTGGTTCATTATGCAACTGTATAAATGTGTTTGCTGGCAAAAGAGGAAATTACACGGCTGTGGGAATGGGAAATGGAGAAAAGGAGGCTGTTGCTTTCAGCAGCACTGCCAGTTTGTGCAGTTTTAGAACAGTAGCTTGAGAAAATGTTGATTTTCATGTGTGTCTGTCACACCTGGCTACGCTTTCCTTTGCGAGAGCTCTTCCTGCTGTTCCTTCAGCAAGCTGGAGTGATGCCAGTGGGATCTGGCTGTTCAGTTCTTAATGAACTGCCACTGGGAAACAGGAGTGGTGGATTAGCATTTGGGTTGTCCTGTGGCTCTCCTAAGGAGCTGGGGCACCAGGAGAGGCACACAGGAATGTGACCAATTTGAGTGTGGTGAAACCAGGAAACCCTGGCTGGCTTAACATTTCCTTGGGAGCCTTTGGGTTCAGAAAGTGCTGAAGGTGTGCTTGGCTGCCCAGCTCGTGCACTCTGGAGAACACATCAAGGTGAATTTCAGGGCCTGGCCTCCCTTGTGTTTCTGTGTGATGGCAGATGGAGCTGTGTAGGCAGCTCTGGGAGAAAAGAGCTCACTGATTTATTGATTTTTAATCATTTATAGTACCCCGGTCTTGTTGTATAAAATAGTTTGACACTTCCATTAGAAAAGCTGATGAACTTCAGTTTGTGGGGAGTGCTTATCCAGAGCCTGAAGATTTTTGGATAAGTGTTTAATTTCTTTCAGCAGTGAGAAACTCAGGGTAGCAGACTGAATTACTGATTTTAAAATCTATCCTTAGTTTTAACTTTTCAGGCTCCGTGCAAGAACAGAGCATGTGGTACAATGATTAACAGGAAAAATCATATCCTGGCTTCGTTAGGCTGATATTTTTCTGTACCAGTTGTCTTCCTCATGTTAACTTTCAGTTTTCTGAAATGAGATTGTCACAGATCTGACATCATCCTTCTGCTGCCACGGTGTAAATGAATGTCAGCGCAGGCTGCTATGTCTGAGGCTTCAGCTGTTAAGAGAACTTACATGTGTTAAATTTGGGCAAGTTTAGATGGGAATACATGCAATAAGGAGTTGAATAATTATTGCATAGATTATATATGTTATACAGGAGAACATTGAATTATATATAGAAATATCTATACTGCACATATAAACCTGAACTCGTGGGACTGTTTTAAGTGGGGTCATAATGAAAGGTGGGCACCTTTGGCAAGTCAGCTATGTGAGCAGAGTTTTATAAATCCCTTTAGAGAGTGGAGAGCTCTGTGTCCTGCTTGGAAGCCTGGTTACAGTCTGACACTTACCCATCCAAACTTGGGTCTGATGTTTTATCACCTGGGGCATTGATTTTCTCAAGGCCTAATAGTCAGCAAAGCTTCTAAAAGCATTCAGCTAATGTTCACTGGCAGCCTGTGTTTCAGTGCTTGTTCTAGTCACAGGATAGTCTGCAGCTCTCTAAATTTCAGTTGCTGGAGTTTCACAAGGGCAAATTTTAGACTTTCAAGGCTTGTTTCCTGCTCCCAACAGAGGAATGGGGAAGGATCATGCCTTGATGTCAGTAGTATTTTGTAGGATATTTGGAGAAGTACTTTCTGTTTAGGGCACGAATCACAATGCTTGCACTGCTACTTCACTGGTTTCTGTACTTCAGAGCTGTGGTTTTCAGTTTGTGTTTAGTTGTCATTCAGCAGTGACCCATGGTCAGATTTATCAGGTGTGTAATTTCAGGATTGTTCAGCTTGAAAACACCAGCTCTGTTCAAACATTTGAACAGCATGTCTTTATCCTCTCTCATGCTGCTGTCTCAAATACAGAGTTTGAAATGAAAGGCTGAATCAAGTAAAATTGGGTGCCAGATTTTGTTGTTGTGGACAGTTGACCCCAAAATAGCACTTTTGGCCATGATTAAGTGATGAAGCTTGGCTCTCTGCCTGAAATGTTTTTCAGAATTCTCAGATGGTAACATCTCATGGCATGTTTGTTTTACTGCTTTGGGTGGTTGATGTTTAGATTTTGTTTTGCTCTCCCCTGTGGTGTTAGTGTGTATTGGAAAAGGGTTGCTGTGTATTGTGGAAGGAGTTTTGTACAGGCTTGTATTGCTCAGCTCTTTTCCCTGAACTCCCAGCAGCAGTGATGCAGGAGTGTGGTTTGGGTATAGCAGGCCTTTGGGGAGAACTAAAACACTGGAACGTGTTTGGTTTTTCTAACGTTGGACAAGTTATTTAATGATCCAGTCAGATCAACCTGGACTAAGGTTTTTCCTGGAAATAAAGTGCTTCATATAATGGCAAGTTGGAAACGTTCTGGGAAGCAGCAGAATCCTTTTGAAGACTGTTAAATTAATCCTGTGGTTTCCTGCATTAGTGTTACACAGGAGCCATTTCCTTCCATTCTCAGTCCAGTCTGTATACTTCCCTCTAACCAGGACAACTGCCATGGAAACTAAACAGTTCTCCCATCATAACACCCAAGTGCCAGTGCCTTCTGTTACAGAAAAGTGGCTGGGAAATGGGAAGGGGGTGTGTGTGGAACGTTTGCAGAAGTCACTAACAAACAAGTGAAGTACTGAGGTCAGACTTTGCCTTAATTTGCACGAGTTATTTAGGTCAGTTATCTAGAGAGCAAAAAGAGGTGGTTTGTCAACACAATCAAAAGTTAAATCAAGTGGACCTTGCAGTTTCTCAGTTGTTACTTATGTGTTTCAGGGTGTCAAGCCAGCCAGCTTTGATAAAGTAGCAATCCCTGAGGTGAAGGAGATCATTGAGGGATGCATTCGGCAAAACAAAGGTGAAAGGTGAGTCCTTGCTTTGCAGATAAAGGCATTAACTGCTGTCTGAGTCCTTTTTGTGTGTGATATCAAACCCAGTTAGTTCCTGGGGTCTTCTTTGTTCTGGTGAAAGTTGGGGAGCCAGTATTACAGTATTAGAGAATTAACAGTGTCAGGAACAGTGCAGATGCCATAGTAACCATCCATGTCAGTTTATTCAGAAATTATATTGCTTTTGTTAAAACTTTGATCAGTCAGCAGTGTGGTGGAGGACAATCCTTCTGGCTTTCCAGGTATTTGGATTGGTTTGTTGGTTGTTCTGTAATCCTTTGTGATTTTTTTGTCCCTTTGATTCTGTTGGTATGATTGAACATTTTGAGGACTCTGTTTTAAATTCTTGCTGCTCATTTTTATCCACATATTCTGCAAGATTATTTCTACTTCAGGTGGTTAACTTACTCCATTACAGGAAATCTCTTACTGCTTTGATGGCTTATTTGTGGGATTTGTTTTGTTTTCTGCTTTTACATGGTTGTTGCTTACTGAATGTCTGATTTCAGACTGTTTCAGCTTTTTTCCACCCTCTAGTTGCCCTCTATTCCATTCAGAACAATTTTTTTTTTCATGGATGTTTATTCCTCCTCTTTTACTAACTCTTGAAATTTTACAGCTGATGATCTTGCTGTATTTGTATATTGTATTTTTAGTTTCAGTTCTTTTTCTTGCTTTTAAACAATTTAGTATTTTTGTCTCATTTGAAATTAATTTTGTTGCTGCACATCACTTATTTCTTGCCATTTAGTTTAGGCTGCTAACTACTACTGTTAATGATATGCTCATAAATCTCTTTTGTACCTTCAGGACAAAGCTTCTAATTACACCCAACAGAATGAACACGAGGTGGTTCAAAACAGCGTAAAACTTAGAGATTAAATCGGGGGAGCATCTGGCAAGGTTATTCCTTAATATTTTATGAAATCCTGATAACTGAATGTGCTTTCTATATTCTTTCCCAATATCTAGATATGCTATTAAGGACCTTTTAAATCATGCTTTCTTCCAAGAAGAGACTGGAGTACGGGTAGAACTTGCAGAGGAAGATGATGGAGAAAAAATTGCCATTAAACTCTGGCTGCGAATTGAAGACATCAAAAAACTCAAGGGCAAATACAAAGATAACGAGGCAATAGAGTTTTCATTTGATTTGGAAAGAGATGTCCCAGAGGATGTAGCACAGGAAATGGTAAGTGCTGGTGGTGTGACAGAGCTGAGGAGGTAGTGCCAGTAAACGTGTCGGCCTCTGCTCTTGCCGTTACCGTGTAGAAACAAATGGGTTCCGAAGCGCATAGAGGAGAAATTAGTGCCAGAGAGAGGCAGCTCTGTCCTAGCACTGGGACAGGGGCTGTCTGTGGCAGTGTGAATTGTGTGAATGTATCCTCCTTCAGGTGGAGTCTGGCTATGTCTGTGAAGGGGATCACAAGACAATGGCGAAGGCTATCAAGGACAGGGTATCTTTGATTAAGCGCAAGCGAGAGCAGCGCCAGTCGGTGCAAGAAGAACAGGAGAACATACTTCAGGAAGAAGGTAGTCAGAAGCAGCAGCTGGAGCAACAGCAGCCATCAAGTGCTTCCCACGCAGGGTCAAAGCATCCCCAGTCTGTCACTGGTATCACTCCTGTCCCCACTGCTTCAGCATCGGTTTCTACACAAGTGGAGCCTGAAGAGCCGGAAGCTGACCAGCACCAACAGCTGCAGTTCCAGCAACCCAGTATATCTGTTCTTTGTAAGTGCCTCAGCTGGTTTCTTTAGGAACTCTTGCACTTACACAGTTCCTCCCCTCATGCTACCCTTTTGGTGGGCACAGCAGTAAATAGCTCAGGGTGATGCTGTCTGCCATTGCTGCTGCTGAAGGACAGTAGGCCACTAGAAAGCACAGCAACGTAAGATGTGTTCCTGTGGCTTAGCTGGGCCAAGGCTTGGCACAATCCACAGCCCAGTGTCCTGGCACTAAATAGTTTCTCTTTGTTCCAGGGTGAACATCCTACACTGGATGAATTGGGGCACCTGAAGCACAAACACGTGCCCTTGGTTTTGCTGCCCTCCCATAGGGACAGTATATTGTGGCCCTGCAGAAGGCTGTGTGCTCCTGCACCAGTGCAGATCAGGCTATTAAAACCATTTACTTCAATCCTTGTGAATTTACATTTAAAGTGGAAATGAGATTAATCTACAAGTAGTTCAGCTTATAATTTCCTTTCTGAAAAGTCTTGTTTTGTTTTACATACTGTACAGGAAAAGATGAATTAATAATGCTGTCTTTTCCTCTTCTGCCATGCCAGCATTTGAATTATGATGGAAGATGACAGCTTCCATATTAGAATGATGAAGTTAAAAAGCAAATTGCTATCTGCTCATTAGATAACAGAGATTTTAATTTGACTATTATGCCTAGTTCACTACTGTGCCTACATGGTGCATCTGCCAGCCAGCACAACACACCTGTTTTAAATGTCTGTGTAAAATGAAATAAAAATAATGACTCATAAACCTTGAAAGATCATTCATAACAATGAGGAATTTAGGTTTCTATTTCTAGTCTAGCCTTTTGTAGGAAATAAAGTTTATTCATAAATATCTTCCCAAAGAACTCCTGAAATGAGTAATTTTTTCAGGGTTTTGGGGAAAGACATAAGGAGGAAAAAGAGATTTTAAAATCAGCTTAAATATTACAAGAAGTAAAGTGCTAATAAAGGTCCACGTGACACGGCACGAAAATCAGTTTAACACTTGATCAATTATAGGATCTTTGAAATTTTGAATCCAGACCACAGTTCTTGAAATGCAGATTTTTATCCTTAACTTTTCCAGCTGATGGAACAGTTGACAGTGGCCAGGGGTCATCTGTGTACACTGAATCTGTGAGCAGTCAGCAGACTGTGTCCTATGGTTCCCAGCATGAGCAGTCAGTCTCGAGCACCGGAGTCCAGGGATACCCAGCTTCAGTTGGCCCAGTGCAGTCCCAGCAGCACGGAGGATTTCAGCCACCTGCAGCGGTAAGCCACACCTCACAGCCCTGCAAATGCATGGATTCCTTCATTCTGTCTGTCTGGTGAGAGGAAATCTGCCAGGCCATCTTCCCTGTGTGTTTTGTTTTGCATAGCATACAGATGCTGCGTGGGAGGAGTTCAGGGGCTCTGTTTTTGCAAGGTGACTGATTTTACAGGGGGAGGGAAAAGTGTACTTTTGTCTTTAAAGCTTTTATTTAATCTTGGCTGCAGTTGAGCAGAATGATGGTTAATTGTTTTTGTGGGTGGAGTACCATCCTCAGAACAAGACTACCTCATAAAAATAAGCATTTAATCTCGCTTGGGAAGGTGGTGTGTGCATGTGTATATGAAATTACCAGGGATCAAGCTGCTGGTTTAGTTTGAAGAAGGGATTAGAGTAATTGAAGGCACTGTATGAAATTGCTGTGTGTGTTCTGTGAGGCTTTGATTACAGATTTTGCAGGTAAGACCTTTTTAACTGTTCCAGAATGTTGCATGTGAGAGCTCCAGACTGAAAAGACCCCACATCCTTGTTCCCAGTTTTATTTCTAGCTTGTGTTGATTTGCTCATCATGCGTATTCCTTTTCCCTGGAAAGTCTGCACTGGGCACAAATACTTTTCCTACTATGTTCATTTGTGTTGCCCTTTTATTTTGGTATGTTTTTCCCTTGGTATGTTTTAGATCTGAGTGAGAGAGTACGCAGAAGTCTATTCTTATTCTGGAGTAGAACTTCTGCTACTTTTATATTGTCTTCAGTGGTTGCCTTGTTGCTTGTTTTTTTACACCAATAACAATCCAAGATTGAGGCAGACATTATGGTATAATGTAGTAATACCATAAAGGAGAAGATGTGACACTTAAGATTGAGGGTCCCCACTTCTTCTGGTACCTGTGGTTGTAGGCTTTATTACAGAGTCACTGGTGTAACTAGGATTTTGGCAAACAGGCTGCTGTCACTCACAATCAAAGCATCTCCATCTTTTCCAAAGACACTTAACCCGAGGTGTGTGGTACTGTTAGTCCTTGATGATGGGTTCTTAATCCCTTTAAATAAGCTGCTCTTCTGGGTAAGCCATATTTTGGTGTGTGGGCACACAGTGGACCAGAAGCCATGTCACTCTCTTGGGGTGGCTGGCTTCCAGGTTGAAAGTCCTGAATCTTTTGGGAGGAGGAGGAGGGAGAAGAAGCATCTGCTAGAGGTGCAGAGCTAAGCTGCTAGGTTTGCTGCAAACACGTGCTCATGCTGTATGCCAACAGTGGCACCAGGAGGCTGACACACTACAGGGACTACTAACCTTGTGTTGGGAAGAAATTACACTGACAACTGAAGGAATGGCCTTAAAAAGAATCACAGAAAGCAATTTGATCAGGACAAGAACAAGGTTGGTGCTTAAACTGGAAGAATCAGCTACACAAGTACATAATGAGTAACCACTGGCTAGGCAGCCATTTTGCGAAATAAATTTTAAAAAAAGTCAGGGATTACATTGGACCACAAGCTGGACATGGTCAAAAACATCATGCTGTCATGAAAAAGGCAAACATCCCATTATATGAAACAGTAGTTCTGCTCTTGGCTATTGGTAAGTCTATCCTGGACATCTTGGTTGAGTGAATTGGAGGGTGGCTTGGGAGAAAATCCAGAGGAGAGTGTTAAAAAACTCCAGGAAAAATACAAAAAATGTGTTTTTTGTGGGAAGACTGAAATAATTGAGTCTATACAAGCTAAGCTTGAGGAGAGAGAAAGCTGTAAAAGGCTGCTATGAAATAAGGGGAGGATAATCAGATCACAGCATTGTTGTTAGATAGAATAAGGAATAATAAGCCTAAATTACAGCATGGAATGATTGTTTGGGAAGGGTTTTTTAATACTTAACAAAGATAAGTATCATAGTCTGCATCAGTGGAGATGTTTCTGAACTATTTAGATTAGATTAGAGTCAGGAATGATGTATAACAAAGCCTGCCTTGGAATAGATGAAGATGTATATAGTTAACCATTTGAGTTCTACCTCTCTCCCAAAATTTTAATCAATTTAGCAAGATTTCTCACAACAGAAATCTTGGAAGTCAGATCTCCACTGAATAGCTTGCTGTCTTCTCTCTGGAGGTCTGTATTTAATTTTAATTAGTTTAAGATATTGTGGATTACCTTCATAAGAAGTATATGCTGCCTCTTTAAAAACATCACATTTCCCTTCACTTAAAAAACCCATAGCAAAACACAATACAACACAAAAAAAAAAAAAGCAATAATGAAACCCCCCCCCCCAAAAAAAAAAAATGCAAATCCCACCTCAAGACTTTATTCTGTTTCTTGTGATTTGATTGGATTTTGACCTGTAGCATTCTGGATTGTAGCGAGATTACAAAATCCGGATGTTTTTCTTGGCCCAGCATCTGGATGATGCTTGTCTAAGACTAATTTTACAGAATTTTCCACACATTAAATGGAGATTTTTCCACAACTCATGTGTAAGGTTTAAATTTTTCTGGTAATGTTTCAGTTAATAAAGAGCCAGCTGCACATATTTAGCTCTCAATTCAGACAGAGGGGCTGCCCAGCAGAGGAACTGGGTGATGCCTGTAAAAACACATTCACTCTAAAAACAAACTAATGTTTGAAAGCTCATTAGTATGTAGGATTTTATTTGTCAGATGCTTCGAGTACACTCAGCATGGGCTGTGTCTGTGGCCCCAGAGAGAACGTTCAGAGCTGCCTTGCACGTGTTTCTCACGAGGGTAGGAGGGAGCTCTCTGCACTGCTCAGTAAGCTCAGGCCAGCTGGGCTCCTCAGAGGTGCACACAGCCTGTTCCCAGTGTGTCCTGGCATCCATTCAGCATTCTCATATCTCATGGTACCACATATTAGTCAATACTGGGCCTTCCATTGTGTGTCTTCATTTCTTTTCTACCTCATTATAGTTTTTGATGGTTTTGTTATTATGTTTTTTTGTTTTGTTTTTTTTTTTGAAGTGTTCGATTCTAAACTTTTGTTTTCCTCCTTTAGCCTCAACGTGGTCGTAGCATGTCAGTTTGTGTCCCCCACCTTCCTGCTCTTCCCTGTATGTCCTGCATCCCTCTCAGTGCTCCTTGCACCCCACCACCAGCGCTGTCTGCACCTCTCTCTCCTTTCTACCTTCGGACTGTCCCTGAAGAAACCTTTGCAGAAAAGCTTTCTAAAGCCCTGGAAAGTGTCCTGCCCATGCACTCTGCCTCTCCACGCAAGCATCGACGCTCCAGCCTGCCCTCCCTCTCTGTCAGTCCTGTATGTGTTACCATTTGCCTCCTGGCACAGTAAGATAAGTTATCATTAAATACATCCTGGGCTCTGGCCATTTCTAAAGGGAGAAACTGAAGAGTTAATTCCTTAGACTGTGCTGCTGGAATGTTGATTTTGTTATTTTTATTTATTTCTATGAAGCAGTACATTATCAAAAAGTGGCTGACTGCTTGTTTCATGTCTTTTAGAATAGTATAAATGTAAATTACCCAGTTGTACCACAGAAGGCAAAGGGAAGACTAGTTCTTATTACCCAAAGTCAGAAGACTTTTCATTTTTCAATTTCTAAGTAAACATTGAATGTTAATTAAGCCTTGCACAGAACAACCAGCTTTTAAAGCCTGATTGCTGTGGCTGCTTATTCTTAAAGCTTTGACTAGCTGTGATACTGATATTAGATATTTAGAGTATGAACACCTTTGGGGCTTTTTCTGTAAATTCTTATCAGAAATGCCACTTCAACTGCTTCTTAATGGGAAGCAGTAGTTTCATGTTTCTTAGAAAGTCAGATGCAAAGATAACTTGCAGTAGAAGAGGTAGTTGCTTTTCAATTTTGAGCTTCAGTTTACACAAAATAAGTTTTGAGAAACATTTTTGTGTAAATGAAGTAAGTGGAAGCAGGGTTAGAACACAGGAAAGGTACTTCATCTGTCAGACCTTCTCATTAGCGTTGGTCAGCATGGAAATTTGCTGCTGCTTTTCCAGACAAAAGAGGCTGGGGAGAAAGTAAGCAATGTGGAAACTGCAACTTGAAAAAGTCATAAATGCCATTTGTCTTGGACAGTATATTTACTACTGACTCCTTGCAAGTTTTTTTTCCTTTAGGGAAGAGAATACATTGTCTCTGGGCATACTGCAGGCAGAGATGAAACAATGCAAAATTACTAAATTGTTTGATATTCCTACATGGAGCTCTGTAGTGAAATATTCCCTACAAGTCTTATATGAGATGAGCCTCCTCTGAGGTAGTACCTCAGATGGAATGGAATTGCCTGAGGACTCTGCTGTTACTGAACCTGTGAATGTTTTATTGTCCAGGCAAGAGTTAAGTTTGTTTCAACGAGTGCTAATTTTCTGTATGAAAAGGTACGCTCATAAGTGATTAAACAGTCAATTTTGTCTTATAAAATATTTCCTTTTAGCTTTTTGGATAGCATACAGGACAGTAGCACTGTGGTTTTTGTATTGGAAAATACTAACATCTAACTTCATCTTTTAATTGCAAATCAGAGGCTCTGCACTGTTGCTGCCCTCACGTTCTGAATTTCATATTCCACATCTGGCAGTGACCTCAGGGGGTTGATTGGATTTCAAGCACTGATCACAATGGATAGGCAGTGACAACAAGTCTCGTTCCATTGTCAGGAGCAAAATTGATTTCTTACTGTGAGCTCTTGGAATTGAACTGGAAAAGCAGCTCTAACACCAGCAAATGTTCCCAATTGTAGCTATGCCTGCCATGGATGTATTTAATGGATATTTACAACTCACCTAAATTTCCTAAGTACTGTATGTTTTTGACCATGAATTGAGTATGAATTCTATAAAGTTACTTCACAGAACTGCCTAGTGAACTGTGCATGTTGATGTGCTTTCACTTTTAATGTATGAATTACCTGTCTTGTTCATGTCAATACAGCCTCAGCATCCTCGTGGGGGAACACCACCGTTCCCAGATTCACAGATATTTTTCCCAACCGTTCATGAACGGCCGGTGTCTTTCTCACCACCACCTGCCTGCCCGCCGAAGGTGGCAATTGCTCAGCGGCGCAAGAGCACTTCATTTTTGGAAGCCCAAACTTGCCACTTCCAGCCATTGCTGAAGACTGGCCAGAGTTTAGTTCCACCTGGGGGTAGTCCCACCAATTGGACTCCAGAGGCATTTGTTATGCTGGGCACAGCAGCTCAGAGAGTCGCTGGAGAGCCTCTGCATGTGCAAGTAAATCCCGTGTTTGAGCAAGCTCCCGTCCACAGTGACTATAGATCTGGACCAACACCTCCAGAGGATGCTCACTACAGGATGCATCCGGAAGCTGTGTATCTGGTGGGCATGCACTATCCATCACAGGTATCGGAGCAGTTTGATCAAGTAGCTCCTAACTCTCACGCGGCCGAACAGCATTTGAAGCAGGTCTCTGAGTCAAACCATGGGCGAGGTGGTCCTCCACAAAGCTCTGTGTTCGACTTCCAATCGGGGCAAACATTCCTGGCAAGACACATTCAGAACCTGAGGCTGGATTCTGGCATGGGTCCCCTTTCTCCATTATGCAGTGTTTCGGCTCCCCTGAGCGCAGAGCCAGCCCAGATGACGTTGCAGCAGGTATTTGTGCCGCACTCGGCCCCGGCCGTGCTCTCTCACAGTGCTGACGGCAGGGCGAGCTGTGTCTTTGAGTTCCATGTGCACGCTCCCGGCCCTGCCGCGCCTGAAGGGGCTTTGCCCCCGCGGGCCTACAGAAGCCGCCGGGGCTCCATGGAGAGCAGCCAAGAGGAGTCCGCCCCAGGCGCAGGCTCGCACGGTCGGCTCCAGCCCGTGACAGAGGAGCACTGCAACTATCTTGGTGCTGGCCTAGCGGCTCCCAGAGCGGGCTCTGCCCGGCGCAGCTGGCCAGAAGGAAGCCCAGAGTACTCCAGTGATTCCTCACAGCTGACTTCCTCTGACACTGGTGATTTCCAGTCTCCTCCCCCTACAGGGGGATCATCTTCTGCTTTTGGTTCAGACTTCTCATTGCCCATTGTTCAGCTGCCTCAGAAGGTGTTGCAAGAGTCGCAGCTCTTCATCTGCTTCCCCCAGGGCGCCTCAACTCAGCAGGCCTTGTCCACCTCGCTTTCATCAGGACCACCTGCATCCTATCCTCAGGTTACAGGAGCAAACCCTTCCACAATTTCACTGCTTTTTATAAGTCATACTGAAAGGGAAACCTTGCTTTTAGACCTGCTCCTCGTGGTTCTAAGAATTAGCATTGGTGGGGGTGTCTTTGCACCAAGTCTGTAGTAGGATATCTTTAACTTATCCAGGTTGCTGTGGAATAATGAGGCGTCAGCAACCATTTGGTCTGTGTTCAGATTTGGCTGAAATATTGGCAGGGCTTTTTTGTTAAAAGTAAAAAAATGGTCAGTGTACTTCCTGGGTCTAGCTGTTCTTTTGGTGAGAGATTGCTGGAGTACTGAATTGGCTTTTAAACAGTGGTTTTTATGAAATGTATCTTCTGCACAGTTAGAATCAGCAGTGGTAGTACAACTTGCTTTGTGTTTCTGTTGCTGCTCTTTAGCCATTTTAATGTGTTATTTGAGGTTGAACTTTCATACAAATAATGTTTCATTAGACAACAAGGTTATTTTGGTGACTATCCAAAATGCAGAGCTTTTTCTAGACTTGGGGAAAGGAAGTGGGAAGAGAGGAATGGAAGGAGCTGTGTTATGTATGTGTACGTGGGTTTGGAAATGTATTTGTTGAAGAAGCTAAAAAGGCTGAGTAGTTAATTAATGGCACAAGCAACTGTTGCTAATTGGTATTGCCCCCCTATAAGCCTTATGTGGTGTCCTTTTAAATAGCAAAATTTGAGGCCTGAAGCTTAGTTTGGAGATGTGTGTTTAATCAGCATATGTGCTATTTGCAATGGTCACTTTTCTGTGCACTGTGAGGTGTGTGTCTATATACATTGTGTCTGCACTCCTAGTCTGATTTCTCATAACCTTCTGTGAAAAGAGAGGATTTACTTTAAGTAGATTTCTCTCTTACCTTTTTTGTCCTTGGAGCTAGGGGCTTTGACATTTTAGTTGCTGTAGTATTAGCAACTTTGGGATTTGTGTGAAGGAGAATAATTCTGCTCTCTGTGTTAAGATAAAGAGCTAAGTATGTAAGGCTTTCTGTAAGGGGTATTAAAGGTGTTGTAGTAAAGCTGGAACAGCTTTCATCACTAGTCTAATAGGTAGAAATTGTTCTGCAATAGAATTTGTAGAATGAATCTCCTACTCAAGAACTTTGAAAACTACATGGAGATTTTTTTTTTTTTCCTCCGTGAACCATTGTTAAACTCTGGAGGCGAATTCTGATGGATATAAAATACATCTGGAAAACAAAAAAAAAAGAAGTCACTTCTTTTGCAGAATATAAGTTCTGGGATCTTTTACCTAATTCATTAGAAGATTAGAATTTAAAACCCAAACTGAGTCAGTGTGAACAGATGTTACAGCAGTGGGACTTAGCACATGTTTACATCCTTGCCAGTAGAGGCCTGAAGCTTCTAAAACAGCAAAGAAAAAAATGGTTCTCTTCATTGGCAGTCTGCTTTCCCCAAAGTTTCCATAATTAGGAAAGTATGGAATTTTAACAGACTTGTTCCTAATGAACTTCTGGAAGCTGAATGATCACAGCATTAAGGAATTTTCTTAGATATTCCTGATATGATGCATAGGCACCAGACGTGCTTCTTACAGAGGCAGTTCACCCAAGTGGTGCATGCTCAGGGAACTCATCTGGAGGTCTTTGTCTAGTTCTCCCCCAGGAGCTGATAAAGAAATACAGTTGTCACAAAAACAATAATGCAGATCCTGGGATCTGGTCAAAAAAATTTTAGCCACAAAAATAATAATGAAAGTCCATTCCATTTTCCTCTGCATCTTCCACGTTCATTTGTATGCCACTCATCCATTTTTTTCGTTGCTTACTCGAAAATTCTGTCTTAGCTGGAATGTGAACCCTCTTACTCCTCCATATCCAAGTCCTGGTAGCCTTTGAATTGTAGTGACTCTGGAAATGATTATTAGCTTGTGTTTTGACATGCCTCTCAAAGGAAACTCATGACATTTATGTGTACTGGGTGCTTTGTAATTGGTCTAGAATTCTGTATATCTTCGTGCTTGGTTTTTTACGGATAGTTTTGTTTCCATGTGGCCTCCTTTTATTGCCCCAGCTGGCTGTGTTCAGAACACATGTAAAGGTAAAACTTAATGCATCTATTTCCAGTTACCCTATCAAGGCATCCTGCTCTTAAAGCATCACCAGTGGAAGAAGAAGCTGGTAGGCTGATCTGTCTCATGTTGAGGGGTGTGTGGGTTGCAGACCTTTCTGTATTGGTTATTTTGGAAGGCTGAAAATGACGTTCAGAACTCCTCCAGATCGCTCTGCTTTGTTCTGGTTGTCGTAATGGAATTTGGCCAGAAGGACTGCTTGTCCAAAAGGACAAGCTAGAAACCTATTCCAACCAGATCATTCCAGGCAGAAATGATTTTAACTGCCTGCAGCAGAAACCATAGAGAAATTTCTCAGCTGATTCCCCTTTTTTGTCCCCCCAGACACAGGTGCAAGGCCAGCCAGCCTCAAGCAATGCATCAGTGCCATCCCAGCCTACTCAACACACTCAGGTAAGGTCACAGTTCCTAAGCTCAGGACTCAAGTCCTCATAGTATAGAATTTTGGTGACTTTTAAGAGCGATTTACGACCTCTGTAACCATTTGACCCATAGCATGCTATGAGATACACTTTTGACTTGCTGAGATTTATTCTAAAAATCATGTTAATGCTTGTTTTCCCATGCCTGTCTTCCCCAACATCCACCTGAGCTTGCAGTGGTGGTCCTGTTCAAGGGGAGACAAGCCAGGATTTGCAGATTAGACTGTCTGGACAGGCAGACTTTATTCTCACGATTTCTTCTAACTGGAAATCTGATCTGCCATGTTCTCTGCCTTGTCTTCCTTTATAGAATCTTCATTCTTGGTTTCACAGGTGAAAGAAATCTCTAGCAAGATTTGGTGTCAATAATGGAATTGTATTAGTAATGTTAATAAGTAATTGCTAAAGCTTAACTGACTTGGCGTATTCTGAAGAACCACTGATATCACTTAGGAGAGAGTAAAAAGCAGAATTTAAGTAGGATACGCTTTTAAAAACCTCTGTTGGGGGGTTAATACAGCTTCTTGCTCTTTTTCCTGCTACAGAGTGCACAGCAGCCAGCCTCTTCCCAACAGCCTGGACAGTACCAGCTGCAGCAGCCCTCGGTTTCTGCCAGCCCCACTCCTGCACAAACCGTCTCTCAAACTCAGACTTCACAGATCATGCCAATGCCTCAGGCAGCAGCTGGGTCACAGGTAAACAAAATTCTTTCTAGCAGATGATTTTTTTTTCCTTCTTCTTCACAGCTGGTAGATTCAATATGCTGCTGCTTTCACTTTTGTCATCTTTCCTAATGGTTTCAAAACATTCATCCAAACAAGAGTATTCTTATTGTACTATAACTGTCAATTTTGTTGAAAAAAATGTGTTGGAAACCCTTTTACATGTGGCAGTTGTGAATAATTTGAGGGAAAGAGAGCACTTCCATGCACAAAGATCTTTAAATTGTCAAAAACATCAGGAGGCATATTGATAAATGGTGTATTGTGAACAGATTTTCAGGAACTTGTCATTTCTCTGTTTCCCATCCACTGTCTATCCTCTGCACCATTACACATGTAAAACATATTCACTTATTTAGGCAGTGAACTATAGGACTCCTTTCTTCATTCTGTCATCTTTCTGACCCAGCTCTTCTCCTTTACTTCCTGATCAAGAAGCTTCTGTTACTGAATATTGCTTCATTTTGGCTCGTATCTCTGTTGAATATGTGAGCCGCAATTTTGTTTTTTAAAATTATTGTTTTGTTGCTTGTTCATCTAAACCGCCTTTCCAGTTGCATCGTTTGCTGGCTTTAATTGACATATTCCCTGCCATTCTCTGAATGCTGGCATAGTGGATTTGATTCTCCTTTGCTTTAGCCCCCATACTCAAAGCTGGCAGATTTGTTTGCACTTGTTTGCTGTAAGAAGGCAGGCTTTGGTCTGGGGACGGAGTTGAGGGGAATTTGATTCTGTTTGTGCACAAATCGGCGCTTCAGGGCATTCAGATGCTGCTCTTTCACCCTCTGGGGGTGTCTGTTTCAAGAGCCCATTGAGTTCTTCGAGGGAAGTGTTGCAAAGTGAGGACTGTTTGGAACTCCAGCCAGCTTCCCAGCCACTCTGCCAACTGTGCTCCCCAGCCACTTTAACAGAGTGCTGTAACTTGAATAATGCTTTCTTTGACTAATGTGTAAAACTCTGCTTTCCGCAACCCTGCTTTAAAAAAAAAAATCTATCTCTATTTTCTTTACCTCCCCAGCTTCCTGTTTCCCAACCAGTGTCGATCATCCAAGGCGAGCCTCAATTACCTGTTGCAGCATCTTCTCTCCCTCAGCCTTCAGTTGCCCCATCAGTCCCCATTGGCTCTCATTTTCTGCCCGTGGGACAGGCCTTGCCAGCTTCCGTGGTTCCCCAGTTCCCCGTGTCTCAGTTGCCTGTAGCAGCTCCTCACGTGACAGTGGCTCAGCCAGCTTTCCAGTCGCTGCCCATTTCCATGGCAGCTGGCATCAGTCAGCCGCTGCTCCCGCTGCCCACGTCCGCAGCCGCTGTTCCTGTGGGAGCGAGCGCTGTCCCTAGCCAGCTGCCCAGCCTGATGCAGCCTGTGGCTCAGCTGCCCAGCCAGGTTCTCCTGCAGCCGCCTGGCCAGGCCGTGGGATTGCCAGTCAGCATTGGACAAGCTGCTGAAGCCTCACTTCCTGCTGCAGATGCTCTTTACCAGGTATAGTTGCAAGCCAGCAGAACTCTTCTCCACATTTTTGCCCGTTCCTCTAAGGTACCAGACCTGGCCAGCTCACTTCTCATATGAGAGCCATTGAGCCACGAGGATAAATGCTGTTGTGCCACAAAGAACCTTTTTAAGGAGGAGAGAAGAAAAAAAGTCCTTGGACACCCATGTGTTTTGGATTTTTCATATTTGGCACTGGAATTGGTGTAAAATCACAGAATCGTAGTGCAGGGCTTTGTTCAACCACTGTGTGAGAGAACAGCCATATATTCACGAGATCTGTCAGCTTGGGGAAAAAAAACATAAGAAATTGTAACTTTAAAAATAGGAGATGTGTGTTGGAAAAAAAAATCAATGGTGGCATATTCAACAATGTCAGTATTTCACTGAGAGTCTGGGAGGGGGTGGGACAGGGAATTCATAGAAATCAGTCAGGCAACATGGATCTTGGATGTGACGTAAGTACCTGATGCTGGTAGTGACCTGCTGGACCGGTGGGCATGGACTGCTTCAGCGACTGTGTGATCACTCACTGTAAAAGTGGCAACCTGATTAATGATAAAAGTGTTCCTTGTTTCTGGGTCAGCTCATTACGAGAGGACGGGAAGAACACCAGAGTGTTTTTGCTATTTAATCTCAAGAATCAGCAGCAGTTGTGTAACATCTGAGCCATAGTTGTTCAGCCTGAGAATTCTTCAAGCTCGTTTCTAATCTCAGGCTTTAAAATCTTAAGCTATGTAGGCAGCTGCAAGAGTTGGGAGATGAAAATTGCTTTGCTTAAGACTTGGGACTGTGAGTGGGGATTTGCTTGTTGGGGCATGGTGACTTGCATGCTGGCTGCATGAGCAGTGTGCTCCGCTTCTTTGGGAGGATTTTGGGAGTGCTTGAACAAATACCGAAGGTTGGAACGTGCCCTTGGAACCCATCCATTTTTTATTGCTGTCTGGTTTCCCAGTTACCTGTGCCATTCACTGACTTGATTCCCTCGTTTCTGTTGCAGGGCTTCCCCTCTCGGCCGACAGCGCAGTACGCGGGGGACTCGAACGCCGCGCCGTCCTCGGCCGCGGCCGCCGCCAGCATTCCTGCTGCTGTGCTGTCCCCTCCCCTGCCCGCAGAGGCCATGGCCCAGCCGGGCTACCTTGCTCCTGTTGGGCAGCCCTATGGGGAGCAGAACGTTCTAGTTTCCGTGGGCAGCCTGGGAGGGCAGGTCCAGGTGCCCCAGCCTCCCGGGAGTTTGGCCCAACAGGCCTCGTCTGCCTCCTCCCAGCCCGCAGTGGTGGAGGTAAATACACGGGGTGTAATGTAACAGTAGATTTTGGATGTTGGACTCATGCAATGGTGTATCTCTGTGGGGAACTAACCCCTCCTGTGCTTGTCTTCAGCTGGAAGTTAATATTTCAAATTACCTTTTTCTTACAGCAGAATGTCATGCCAATGTGGGGACCTTGTTGCCACTGGTTTTTCTGTTGGGAAGTGAGTGTGCATCCTGCAGGCAAAAGGCAGTAAAACACTTCACTTCTTGCTAGTACCGTAGAACATTTTTGCCATATCAGAGACAAGCTGCAGTCGATAGCCTTTGGGAATCTGTCGTTATGCCAGTTCCCTGCAGCGTGGTTCTTGCAGGGAGGATTGGAGTTGTCTTTGTGTTCTGCATTGGCTTGCCTCTTGCACGTCCTGTTGGTAGGACTGACTGCATGGCCAGCTGTAGTGACACGTGGCAGTAGAAAGGACGTGCGCCTGGTTTCCTCTCCTCACCCCTCCTCGGATGACATTTTGCTTCACTGCAGTTTGCTCTAGAGTACTTTGGAAACTAAAGCTGTCCTTGAAGCCAGCTGTTTAAACTTCTAAAAAGGCAGAGCTTTCAGCTTTACAACTGCTTTGGGAGGAAACCCTGAGGACCATTGGGTTGCTTGAAGAGGAACTGTACTCTTTGGGGGGGTTTTGATTGTAGGTTTCTATCCATAGGGTACTCAGGGAGTCTCACAGACTGCTTCTTCAGAGACTCTGCCAGCGACACAGCCTGCTCAGTCCACCCCTTTGGCTTCTTCCATGGATAGGTGAGCATTGCTTCTTTCCACCAAACTGAGTTCCAGTGTCACCTAATACTTCTGTGGATAATCTTTAGATGCACTTTTTCACCAGGGATATATTTTTTTCACTGGGAATGTTCTTGAGGATATGAGTAACTAAAGTTCCTAGAGGAAAAGCAGAGTCATGAAGGGTGGAGTAGGTTGTGATTTATGGAGGGAGTAAGTAAGGTTGTGTATAGTGATTAACTTTTTTAATTGTCATGTCAAATAGATCATAAGTGACAGTTTTTTTCTTTTTGGCACTTGAGCAGAATTCAAGCTCCAATGATAGATTTGCACAACACAGCTTGCAAGAGGTGTAGCAAAATAATTAGTTAGAATTTTTATTTAAGCAACCTGAAGTGTTGACAACTCGATGATTAACACCCATCTACCACTTGCCAGAACAGAAGATCATGTGGTAGGTTAAAGAGTATTGTTGCAGTACATGGATATCAACAGAAAGTTGCCTTTTGTTTCTAGTGCACATTCTGATGTTGCTTCAGGACTGAGTGATGGCAACGAGAATGTCCCAGCCTCTAGTGGAAGGCACGAAGGGAGGACCACGAAACGTCACATGCGGAGGTCTGTCCGCAGTCGCTCTCGCCATGAGAAGACTTCTAGGCCGAAACTGAGAATTCTAAATGTGAGTAGTTTTTATTTCAGGGACAGTTCAGTAGTAATGATGTGTTTCTGAGCCTCTACAAGCATTCCAAGTATCATCTGTTTAGAGCTTTTTGGAGCATTAGATATGGAAAACCAGGCTTGCTTAGCTGCCAATGGTTCCACAGACTATTGCAGAATATTCAGTGTATCCTCAGAGACCATTTATTAGCCTGGAAAGACAGAACATGTTTGTCTTACACCAGTACTGTTAGTTTGTCTCAGTGAACTTTCAAATCTCAGTGAACTTAGATCCTCGTGCTTTTGGTTTGAAGTATTATTTTCTTTGCTTTAGGTTTCAAACAAAGGTGATCGGGTAGTGGAATGCCAGCTAGAGACACACAATCGGAAAATGGTTACTTTCAAATTTGATTTGGATGGTGATAACCCTGAGGAAATAGCTACAATTATGGTAAGATATATTTCAGAGATGGAGAATCCAGTCACTTGTATTTTTTTGTTTATGGTTTAGAATTGGTCTCCCATGTAGCATGGTGTGTGTTCACCTTATTGGTACACCACCACAACTAGGAATTTGGCACAGAATGGTTTAGCAGTCTGATTATCAATTAATATTGCATGTACAAGTCTCATGAAAATTTGTGTCAGTTTTTACCTTAGAACTGAGGTTTTTATCAAGTTTTTATCAAACTGTTTCTGTTTTTTGGTTGATTGTTTTTGTTGTTTTTTTTCAATCTGAATTTTCAAAACTACAAGGAACCTTCTGGAAATGCCAGGTTAAAAAAATTCTGTTTGCTTTTCTAAGAGCAGGTATTGCTACATCATCTTATTCTTCAAACATTTCACCATTGTTGTCAATTAAAATGGGAGGATTCTTCCATTAAATAAAGAAAGGGGAATTGCATTTTGTTTTTTGAAGGTACCTAGTGTTTGATGCTCCTTTTGACTTTTATCAGAAAGAAAAGCTTCTCCATTCCATGTATGATGTCCAGGCACAGGAAAGAATTTATCCTATAGAGATACATTTAAAGGAGAGTATTGAGTAGCATAGAATAGAATCCCCTATTTCTTTTATTTTTTAGTTTAGACTCTTATTCTTGGTTTGGTACAGTCTAAATGAGCCTGAGATGGTTTTAGTGTTACTGAAGTGGGGGAGAATAACAAACCACAGTATCTTTTGCAGCTTCTTGGGCACCTATGCAGTGTTTATCTTTTGCTTAGAGAGCTGGCAGGGTCTGAATTGGTGTGTGCTGGGTTTGTACTTGTCAGAAGGAACCAAACAGTGATATTGGAGAAATTCTCTGCCACTAATGGCTTTCTGAGAAAGAGGAAGAAGTTGGTTCTTGGCTAAGAACATAGCCAACATATGCACAGTCAATACCATGAGGTCATGTGCCAGGAAATACAGAGTACACAGATGGCTTTCTTCACCTTAAACCTAAAGTGAGCCTATGGAGAGAAAAAGAGTATGTTTGATTTGTGAAAACTAAACAAGCAAAACCAAAACTACGAGACAAACACTCTCCAAGCAACAAAGGTTGTAAATATTTGAAGATGAGTGGAAGCAAAGTAAGTGAAGCTTGCATCCAAAATGCAGACATATAGTTGAAAGTGTGCAGACTAATTTAAACATCTGAATCTGGAGCATTGTGCTCATGGGCTCCTTGTTGAATATTGAGCAAACTTTAGATTGCAAGACTTTGTTGTTTCTTTTTAATCATGGTACTGTTAGGCATACCCCATATAGGTGCCTGTAGGTCCCAAACTGAAAGTACTGAAGATTTCTTTAGCTAGTATTCTGCATTGCAAAGGCTGATCTAAGCACATCACACCTGACTTTCCTTTTCTTCAACCAGCATCCCAGGAGTAAAAGCAGTAATTTCAAGCTTTACCTCTAAGGCACTTTCTCTCTTTTCCAGCAGAGGCTCTGTGGATGACAGCTCTACTTCTGTTTCATAGACTGTCTCTGCGAGTTTTGCCCTGCATAATTTCAGGAGGCAGAATACTCTCATGGGTTAGAGCAAATCAAAAATGCCTTTCTAACTACCAAGTATACTTGTTTAAACTAGTTTTGTCCAACATAGGCAAGAGAAGTTATTTTTGTAAAGCAATACAATGTATTGGAACTAGATAGGCTGAGCCATCTTCCCCTCCCTGTATTTGGGAACATAATTCATACTGGCTTTCATGTAACACAACCAGACATTAAATCAGTGATGTGCAACCTGCACAGAGGAGAGGTTGTACATGTCATGGAAAGAGAGGAGCACAGAAGACATCTCACAATACAGAATTTTCAATTTCTTTTATATTAGAGTTATCTATAATGTGTCTCTTAATGCACATTGCATTGATTAGACAGGAGGAATTGCAGTAAGATAAGGCTGCTAATTTTAAATTTCCCTGTGCTAAGCAGAGATTGAGGTGACAGTCTGATAAAGAAGTGAGATTGAATGTTGTTCCACAGCAAAGATTAAACCAGGGCACACACTTCTGTGCTGGAAATAATTGGAGAAGCAGTTGTTTTTCTCTAAGGTGTCATCACTTCCATCTTGTTCAGAAGAACAGCAAAGGGAAGACAAACATTAGCACCAAGAGTAAGTTGTAGTTATTCAATACATTATTTTGAAATTGTTTGTGGAAAACGAATGTTGCTTTGTTCTTTTACAGGTGCAGAATGAGTTTATTTTAGCAACAGAGCGAGACTCATTTGTAGAACAGGTACGAGAGATTATTGAGAAGGCAGATGAAATGCTCAGTGAGGACGCAAGCGTGGAGCCAGAGGGGGATCAGGCCTTGGAGAGCATGCGCACAAAAGACGACGGCTTCTTCCCGGGGTCACAGGTATGTGAAGGACACACTGCCTCAGCTGTTGCTGTCTTCCATTTTGGGTGGTATGGTTGTGTGAGTAGAGCTAGCTAGAAACAGAAACTTCCTGTCATGAGAGATAGGAAAGGACAGTAATTAAAAGACAAAAAGAGAAAGCTTCATATCAGAGTGAGTGCCTGAGATTAAGTTAGAAAGCTAAATAACAGACCTCTTACTTTTTGGTGTGTTTGAAGACTTCCGAAGCCGCTGAATCTCCTAACAGTCCACTAAACAGACAGTCTTAAATGCTGATGCTTCTTGGATTTGAGATTATTGTGAGGTAGGAGAGTAAAACCCCAACCCTGTGCTGCTCACTAAACACTGAGAGTCTGGTCTCAGGCCCTCCACCCAGTGAAGTACTAAGAGACTGGATAGCTCGCTCAGGAAACACAGGTTTTGAAACTGTTTGCTGGGTGCTGAAAGTGGTGACATTTCCTGAACCTCTGCCTTAATTACACCCAGAACTAGTTTGGAACATCCATTTATGTGTAGGATGTTTAAAGTAATCAGTTGGATTTCCAAAAGAATTTTTAGATCAGTTTGTTACACTGACACTCACTAAAGTGAGAGTCTCTAAAAACATTGTAGCTGACATTTATCTGGGCAGAATTCCTCTAGTTTGGTGATGGTGCTTGGGTCCCAGGTTCTGCTTCCCTTAAATGCCCACATTTCAGTAGGTTAGCATTTTAAGAACTATCTTGTGGGTTTCTGTTTCAGAATAGAAGTTTAAATTTTATCTTACTTTACAGAAATTAGAGTTCAAACAGCCAGATCCTACATCTTCCATGCCACAAAGAATAGGTAAGTCTTTTGTGATTTTTTTTCAACAGTTACCTTTTTCTGTTTCAGCGGATGGGTGCAGCCAAGTTTTTATTTTGTATGATGGAGTGCACATTCCATATTGCAGGTTGTGTGTTTAGTTACAACCCTGTGTCACTAAACATGCACCTTCTTTCTGTTTAGGGGTTCCCTCTAGCTCCTTTACCCAGGTTGTTCACTCTGCGGGAAGACGTTTCATTGTCAGCCCCGTCCCCGAGAGCCGCTTGAAAGAACAGGGCTTTTTCACATCTGCTGTTGTTGGAGGAAGCGAAACTTCAGATATGGGTGAGTTGTCCAAACTCTTGCAAGCTGATGCCAAAGACATGTTGCTTTAATATAAGCCCAGATTTGTGTTTTGTTGTTTTGGTGTGGGTTTTTTGTTTGGTTTGGTTTTTTTAATGCTAAGAAGTAAATGTGGTCTTGGTCTAGCCATAGACAATAATACTGTAATGAACTGTTTCAGGTGGACTGATAAATTTCTTTTCTTCCAGTTGCAGCATCTCCTGTACATGGTCCTGGAATGAATCTCTCCCACTCAGCATCATCACTGAGCTTGCAGCAAGCTTTCTCTGAGATGGGGCACGCTCAGATGACAGAAGGACCTAGCACAGCTCCTCCAGTGTTCAATCAAACAGTCCCACCGTTTCCACCTGCACTTTCTACCATGGCGGGCGGCGCTGCGACTCCTGCATCCGTGGCTACTTCTTCAGTATCCGTTTCCTCCAGCACTGGTGTTTCTCTGCCAGGACCTGTTACTTTGCCTTCAGAAAATGCAGCTGTTGGAGCTGCACCAAGCACAAGCGTGCCAAGCTCTGTTTCTCCACCTCCAGCCTCACAGTCCGCACAGCAATCGACCGGCGTCGCTTCCAGCGTCAGCGCCTCCGCTTCTTTCTCCTTACCTGCCACGTCCCAGCCTGCCCAAGCGGCGGCTGCAGACATTGTCCCCAGCATCAGCACACCATCGTCCTCAGCACTGCCACCTGCCCAGCTTCCTGCTGCCACTGCCCTCGCTGCTGCAGCACCAGCTGTGACGTCTCAGTCTGCTCCTCAGATCGTGAGCAGTATGGCAGCACCACAGGCGTCTGTTGCCCTGTCTGGGGCTCAGAATGTGGCTTTGCAGCTTCCCCAGCTCAGCAGCAGCGGCTCTGTGTCCAGCCTGGCAGAAACAACAGTCGTAAGCGCTCCACAGTCGCTACCTGAGACCGGGCACTCCCTGGATAAATCTCATCCCTGCAATGCGGCTGGCTTATCTCTGCCAATCTCAGCACCTTTATCATCCTCCGTAGCATCAAGCATATGTGGGTCAGTCTCTCAGCCGCTCATCCATCCCTTGCTTGTTCCATCAGGAATTACATCAACACCTGTCCTGCCCCAGATTTCAGGTGCAACACCCATGTTGCCCCAGGTTCCCTTGCCTGGTGTCTTGCCACAGCCAGTCACTAACTTGCCTGCAGTGCAGCAGACTTTGATCCACAGCCAGCCTCAACCGGCTCCATTGCCCAACCAGCCTCACGTTCACTGTCTGGAGGCTGATGCTGATGCTCAGTCTAAAGCCCCTGGTATTGATGATATCAAGACCCTGGAGGAAAAGCTGCGCTCTCTGTTCAGTGAGCACGGGAACGTGGGCACGGTGCACCCGTCGATGTCCCTGGAGACCTCGCTGCTGATGGAGACCACTGTTGTTCCTGGCATCCCAACCACTGCAGTTGCACCAAGCAAACCCCTGACATCCATTAGCACTTGTATACCTCCGAGCAGTTTGCCTCTTGGACCAACTGGCTTGCCAGTGCTGACTCCAGTTGCCACTCCTGGGCAGGTGATCACCCCTGCCAGCTACATCTCGGCCTCGAGCAGCATCGCCACCGCCGCGGTGAAAGCGGGGACCTCTCCTTCCAAGGCCCCTCTCAGCAGGGTACCGGTAAGAACAGCTCTGGGGGGAATCTGCCTTCTTGGGCAGGATGCTTTTTGTAAAGCAAAAGAGTTATTCAGGAAGAAGTTGCTTCATTTAATGTAGTGTTGAAAGGTTTGTGCTCTGGTTGTTTTTATGTGTCCCAAGAGGTGGTGTGTTTTGTCCCTAATGTGCAAAAAAAGGATCCAGTTCTGTTTTGTGCTTCTGAGAGATGTCTCTTATGTCACTGTTGATTTTTCTTCTCCTTAAACTACAAAAGGTGAAGCAACTGTGGCTTGCTTTTGGTGTTTGTTTGGGTTTTTTTCTTGATATTGATTTTTTGAAATAGAATTTGGATGTTTTGCTTTAAATAGCTTTTTATCTTGTACACAAGCACTAGACAGAGATGGTTGGTTGCATATTTCACAAAGTGGTGGATTTGAGGTAGTGTAGTTTTGTTTCCTGTCATGAACCTGTTCCTTGCAGTCAATGGTGAACCTGACTGAAAGGTTTTCCTTTTTTTGAAAAAAGTACTCTGCTACTAATTTGATACATGGATGCTGTTTTCCCTTCAAATGTAACATTTATGAGAGCAGAATTTTGAGAAATTTAAGAGATACCTGAAAACAAACTTTTTTTTTTTGCTTGGTTGGTTTTTTGGTTTTGTTTTTTCTTTTGTTTACTCACTCATGCTCTTCAAGCAAAGCACTCTTTCACAAAGAAATAACGACTCACAGTAACAACCTGAGAGGTGCTGTGGATGTTGTTACCTGCTCACCAACCAGATATATCAATATATGAAATTTTCTCTTAAATGTCTGCCTGTGTGGGGACACAGCATATTTCAGTATTTTAAACTATTTTGGTAGTCCTTTCCTTAAATGAAAAGGTAGCCCTTAAATGGAAATAAGTTGAAGAAATTTTCAGGTATTTAGTAGACCAAAAACTATAATACTCACTTCTTTTTGTTTCTGTGATGTTTTTTTGTGCTCATCAACACTTTGTGTTGGTTGTCCTTAGCCAGCCTTGCTATCAGCCAGTTTCAGGCCACTCAGATTGAGCCAGTGCCCCCAGTGTCTCCATTCATTGTCTTTCCATGTACTCCTTGTAGGCAAAGACAGTAGAAGATCTCTGCTATGGAACAGTGGGAATACGTGCCAAAAAACTTAAGGAAATCCAGACACCAAGGCATCCATTAATATCTCATTGAAATTGAAAATTAGAAAAGAGATATTAGGAAAAAAAACGGGAACTGGTATTTGCTCAGGAACAGTTGGGGCAGTTAGAAAATTGCTAATTGCAAACCTTTAATTACAAAGACACAAGTTGAAGTGTAATGAACGTTACAGAGTTTTTGATTGTCAGTTGTAGAAATCCTACCTCCTCTCTGAAGTTTTCATTTTTCAATTAGTTTGTTTTTTTACAAAGCTGAATTTTAGCTTCACTTTGTGTTGTTGCTGAGCATTAAGGAGCTTATTGCTTTAGTCTTGTGGGGTTTGCTAGACTCCGTGTATTTATTCTGTTTATGGCCAGACTGTTAACCTAGACAGTTAAATGTGTTTCAGCTTGTCTATCAAATGTATTTAAAGTATGTTTTGCCTCTTATTTATAAACTAAATTATGAGGTTATCACAGCTTAAAAGTTCATCATGCTTCAGAACAGGTAACGTCCTCACACGTGTTTCTGCTGCACAGAGAAGCTGAGCTGATGCACCTGGCTCCTGCTGAAGTGTTTGGGGAGGATTGATAACTCTGGCAGTGCACCTCCACTGGCAGCCACTCCTGCAGTTGGCAGCATTAGTTTAAGCTGTGGCAGCACACTGCAGGCCAGAAGTGGTTCTGGAGCACGCTGGGGCTGTCCCCCTGTGCTGCAGAGCAGGGCCAGCTGGCCAGCACAGGAACTCGCCAGGCTGTGTGCTCAGGCTCCATGGGCACTGTCAGACCTCCACATGGCAGCTGGGAATAAGAATTACAAATTATCTAATGGGTTGCTTAATTCCTACAACTTCCCACTTCCCTAACAATGGAAATGACTAACTGGAATGTGCTGTCTGACCTGGTGTGGGGAGGCTTTGATGCCTCCTTCTAACCTTTCCAGTCTCTCTAACCTCCTCCACATAACCTGGATGACTTCCCCCTACCCAGCTGCATGGCCTAATCACCTTCTGTGGGTCATCAACACCCTTCAGGCTCAAAAAGAAGTGATGGATCAAAAGATTGGTGTGAGAGCTCTACAAATCTGTTTCTCAACAAGTGGAGACATCCTCAGGCACTCACAGTTCCTGTTCTTAAGTCATGGTGCTTGGAACAAGTTGCTGGAAGCATGCAGCTCACAGTTCTAATGGACAGTTAGCACAGATCTGTTGTAAGGAGACTGAGTGCATTCTTGCACCATTTTAGAAATTAAGCTTCTTGGGAGAATTATTTTAGCATTTCTTCCAGACTTGAAAATAATATCCCCAAGATTCTTTTTTGCTGGATACTACAGCTCGTTTAAACTGGAAGTTGTTCCAAGGATAATCTGGATTATAAAATAAAAACACAGCAAACTTCCCTCAGTTTGGTTGCAAAAGTCCCTAAAGACTCTATGCTAACTGTCCAGGAGGGAATTCTCTAGGAAAAAGAACCAGTTAATGCTTCTGTTGTATGACATGACTGACTGTAGCTTGGTATCTGATCCTCTGTTGTTCCATGTCTGATGGACGCGCGTTTCCTCTTCGTTGTCCGTAGGTGCTCCCAATAGGTTCTGACCTCCCGGCTGGCACTCCATCCAGTGAGCAGCTGCCACCCTTTCCAGGACCTTCACTAACTCAGGTGCTACACAACTTGGCAGATTTGATCTGCTTCTTCTCCCTTCAGAGAGCATGTTCCAATTAAACTCTCCACTGCATGTCATTAATGTTTCTGGTTTTCTTTTCTTTTGACTGAGTAACCCCTTTTGTGTAAGTGCAGCTGCAGCCTGAGTGCCTTCAGCACTGGCTGGGAGCCACCTGGTCTGGGGAAGGCATCCCTGCCCATGGCAGGGCCTTGGAACTGGATCACCTTGAAGGTCCCTTCCAACCCAAACCATTCTGTGCTTCTGTGCAGCTTTCCCTTTGGGGTGCTGTACCCAGTGCCTAATCAGGCTTAGGGGTTTTAGTGTGTTAATCTGAACTTGAAATATTTTCTTTAAAAAAAAAATCATGAAGTTTTGGGGTTTGGTTGTTTCTTTTGAAAATTGCCTTTTTGTTTGGTTGTTTGTTGGTTTTTTTGTTTTGTTTTTGCTTTTTTTTTTGTGTTTCATATTGTTTATTTTGTGGTTATTGCTACATTCTGATTTCACTAGGCTTTAAGATTTGCAGAAGGTGTTTGAAATTCCTTATCATAAACATGACTTGAAATGCAGCAGTGGCTTCCCCTGCTTGGCTTCTGTCCTTGGATGCAGCAGTTAGCTGGGATATTCTGTGTGTGAATGGAGGTGCCAGGCAATAGGACAAGAGGCCATGGGCAGACACTGATGCTCTGAAGTTCCACCTGAACATGAGGAAGAACTTCTTTCCTGTGCAGTGACCGTGCACTGGAACAGAATGTGCAGAGAGGGTGTGAAATCTCCCTTTAGGGGAGATGTTCCAGAACCATCAACAATTTGGTGATGCCTGTATTCTTCCCATGGGCAGGTATCAGATGGATCAGGAGACAGCTGGGTAAAAATCAGTCATGTGGAGTTCATTTTCATTACTGGAAGCTCAGTGTATTTATTAGTTGTATTTTCCCCTTAGCTCCAAAGCAGTTGTAGCCACTCCTGTGACTCAGGCCATGGTACCACTGCAAAAGGCTGCTTCCTGTTTGTCATGGGTATTTCTGGCAGCATCTGTGGCATGGAAGAGTCACAAATATAGATTCCTTGCTTCTTGTCCTTTGCAAGCAACTTACCCAATTTCACTTCTCATTTGAACTCTGAAGGATTGTCTAGGAGTGAGACAAATTTGGAGCAGACCAACTGGATCAAATCTAATTGACTGTTGAGAGCATTTGCTGCTATCACATAATAGTATCTGGAAAATTACTGGCCTGCCTTAAAGGAGACAGGCGTGCCTTCCGTGCTGCTTCTGTCACCAGTAGGTGATTACACAACTTTTCCCCTTCCCTTAGTAGCAGCCTCGTAATTTGCAGAGTACACGTCATCTCGAGACCAGTTGTGAACAGTCTGTTCCATAATCTTAAATGCCTGTTCTATTTATTCCTTAATTGCTTTTTAAAGTGTATTTAGATTAATCTCTCAAGCTTCATTCTGGTCCCCTTGTTCCGCAGGGCAATCTTTATTTCCTGATCATTCTGATAGCTCTTTGTTTTCTTGAAGCAAATATCTTCTTGTGAACATAAGTGATTATTTAGTATTTCAGGTGATATGTCCCCTTTATTTTACAGTGTTAGATTAAATTACCTCACTAGTTTCTAAGCAGTTGAATTTCTGAATGGAGTCATAGAAATCTACATCTGCTTTTTTTTTTTGTATAATGGAATTGATACAGGCTTTATTGTTCCTAGGGGTTTTAGTGTTGCTTTGAAATCCACAGGTCAGGAAGAATGTTATCCTGGCAACCTGTTGAAAGCATCTTTATGCTATTGTGTACCTCTAACTTCCAGTGGAAAGTAGTATTTTTATGTTATCATGATCTCTGCTTCAGTTTTAAAAAGAGCTACATCTATTTTCTAAATGTAAAAGACTTGTAAAGATTAATAATGCTAAAGTTTGGATGAAAATTTCTGTTCTGTAGGGTCAGAATTGTGACTTAATGGTATCTGACAATGCATTCTTTTAATGTATCTTAAGAGCATGGTCCTAATTTAATCATTTTGAGACTGGTACTTTTTTAATCTTAAAGATATTTTTAGGTAAAATTACTTTCTCTTCTTCTCCCCAGTCCAACTGACCATGTTAGCAAAACATCTTGTATTCTAAATGAAATCTAATTCATAAGCATACTTGAGAGGTTCTGCCCCTCTTGATTGGTTTTGAGTGGCCTGGCAGAGTTTTTTCTTTTTATTTTTTTTTTTTAAGTCCCAGTTAATTTTCCTGTTCTGTTGCTTTTAAACAAACATGTTGCATGTTTGTTTAAATCTTCCCGTGCTATACATGTTAAGTCCAAATGTGTAGGAAGGAAGCTTGATAGAAATATGGAAGCTGTACTGAGTGCTTTAAATTTTGGTATTAAGTATGTCTGTTTCTCAGCAATGCTTTGCTTTTTCCTGAGCTGGGACATGGTTTTACTCTTTTCTTTCTCAGTCCCAACAGCCACTGGAAGATCTGGATGCTCAGCTGAGAAGAACCCTTAGCCCAGAGACCGTCCCAGTGACATCTGCTCCTGCCTGTGTATGTTTGCAATGTTGGCAGTTCAGTAGTCTTGGAAAACCTCAGTGTTTTGTCCAAGTTGTGCTCTTAGGTCACTGCCTTTAATATCACTACACCAGCATTTAGACTTGTAAAAATAAAAATTCAGAGTCATCTTCCAGTTTGTGGGACTGAGTCAACCAAAATCGGGAAAGTTTGTATTATTGCAATAGATTATGTAATTTCCTGAGGCTGTTTTCTGGTATTAGTTGTTATTCCAGCTTTTCTGGTGATGTCACCAAAGTAGAAATGGAAGTGACTGTGGAATAAAGGGAAGGAGCACTAAACAAGCAATATGTCATATGTCAGTTTTAATTTGGGAGGGATGTTTCAAGTGTGGATCTGAAATTATAAAAGCTCCCATTAAAGAGTTTGGATACTGAACAAAGATAAATGATTGACTATCCAAGTGGCTATTTGTGCATTATTTCTACACAGGCCAAGGGGGTGATCTGCTCACAGCCTCAGGGTTATAAAAAAGGCCTGCAAAATCTCTTTTTTTTTGTCTTCTCATGGGTCATACTCGGTCCCTGTTGGAAGCAAAAAACCCATGTAATATGCAGTACATCAGATTTGTTGGTATTCAGTGAAACTGCTAATTATTTTAATTTCTTTTGTTTTCCTCCCTGAACCTGCAGTCTGTGCCCTCAGTAGCATCAACAACGGTTACTGGGCCGGTGTCCGCAGCGACGCAGTGTCTGAAGGATGGTAAGGCAGCCATCACTGCTTTAGGTGATTTCTCAGCATGAAATAGAAATCAAAATGGAACAGAGTAACCACTTGGAAGGTTATATATAGCCTTTTCTACCAAGTCACAGAGTGGCAGCTCCTTGAGGGGATCTTACTAGTTTTGAGTAGCCAGACTGAAATTTTCCCCTGTGGCCAGGAGGAGGAGGAGGATGATAGACACATGTGTGTTGTAGTGACTCTTTTAGGATTTAAAGCTGTCCAAAATGCTAAATTAAGACTCAGAGTCTCCGCAGGGCTGCTAAGGTACAGCATCAGGACTTGAAGGAACTGTTTGCTGTCATGTGTTACGTCCCTGGCAGCAGCAGCAGGACTCACTTTGTGTCATCACACTGTGTTCTACATGTAGGACACCTCTCCCTTGCCTAAAGGGGTTTCACTTCTGTTTGAACACAGAAACCAAGGTTAAATTACTGAAAATTCAAGAAAGGTAGTAAGAAACCCAGAGTTCCTTCTGTCTGCTTTAGAACAACTGGAGGTTAACTGGATGACCACCAGTTAAAGTCTGGATGATCAATGACTTTCAAATCTGTATGAATTGAGTTATTGGGGGGGCATACAAACACTTGCAGAATAATCTGAGATATTAGGTCAGTATTCATCTAATTGTTTTAATTTTTGAAATCTTCTGTCCTTAAAAGAAGCTGTTAATACAGTGCTGATTTTTTTTTCTTGAGCTGTCTAGTAAACCCTGTTTAACATGCATGTGCCTCTGAAGTTGAATAACTAACCTTCAGAAGCCAATTAAACCGTGAAGGAAAATAAAGGAATTACTCTCATTTTGGGATATTGGTGAATTATAATGTAGAATTCATTAGTCTGCTATAGAATGAGTTGGGTTTTGTCTTTTAAGTTTAGAAGGTAAAGATAAACAAACTGGGTAGTTGCTTAATCAACAGAGCAAGCTGTCCAATAGGAATGACATAAAAATAGAATGTTATTTCTCAGCTTTGTTACTTTATGCTGCCAGTGCACAGAGAAACAGAATTAGGAGCTGACACCTAAGAGTCCAGCTTGGAAAACTTCAGATAGACTGCTTTCAGTAAATACTGCTTATAAAATTTCTTCAGCTTGCCCCTTTTCTGTGAATAAATTGTCCCCAGTGTTTGTGAAATTTAGGTAGTCACTCTGGGTATTGAATCAAAATAAGCTTTTTCTTTCATAAATTTCAGTTCTTGTTCTTTATTATTTGTCTTTTTCACATCCCTGTTCAAAATCAGTGTGCTTTTTTTACTGTTGCCTAAAAGTGTAGCAAATTTTGGCAAATGCACTGTGCAGGGAAGCTTTGTAGATAAATGCTTCAACTTAACATTAATAATTAACAATATTAATATGGTGCTGTGAGTCCAGAAGCCTCTTTGGGGTTAACAGATAGTTGAATTTGAAGTACATGTAAGTAATAAAGAAACAAAATAATTTGCTGCTCCTTGTTGTCTTAATGGCATTCTCCTTTTCCTCCTTTCTGGCAGCAGGCGATGGGGAGAGCAGTGCTGCGGCTGCTGCAGCAGGAGGCAGCGTGCTGAAGATGGGCCGGTTTCAGGTAGGAGCTGCTCAGCTCACCTGGCTCCTGGCACAGCATCCTGGGGGGGTCCTGCTGGTGCCAGCTCCATGTCCCTTGTGCAGGACCTGCTGTCCACATGCAGCTTGTGGCAGCAGGTCTGCAGGTGCTGTTTGCATCCAGGGCTCTGGAGCTGTGAGCACAGGGTTTCATCCTGGCTTGTGCTGGGATCTTCACTGTGTTACGTCCTGATGGTGAAGTGTAGGAACCCAGAAATGGACAAACATTTCTCTGTTTGTCCTGTTCTCCAAAAAGGTACTAATCTTGTCTGTCACTGACACAAAGGCTTCCAAGTATCCCTGGGTAAACCAGGATTTATAAAAAAATAAGTAGAAGTTGGTAGAGTGTTTAATACATGGAGTAAAGATGGGGAAAAAGGGTGTGGTTCTTAGCTCTCCTTCTTCTCCATGGTTCTGCAGTTTATAAAAGCACAGTGTGATTGGTTGAAAGCTAGTTGCAGCTTTAGTTACATAAGTAGATATAGAAAACTTATTTGTTAATATGTAAGAACAACACATGTTTCTATTGTTAATTTGGTAAAAGTGGACATAAAGATGAAACAGCCACGTGGTTCCAGGCCATTTTGTGCCATCAGAGCCAAAGTGAGGCTATGGTGAACTGAACTTGTGCAGAAAGTCTGGAGAGACCTGCCAAGTCTCTGATAACATCCTAATAAACACGAGAAACAAGATCCTAACGAGCTTTAGAGTTTTCTTCAAACCCAGAGAACTGAGATTAAACTGAACTCCCCTTGCAGGAGTATCCCCAAGGAGCTGGGCTCAGAAGGATTTTTTGCTTATGGTTTGTGCTACTGAGTTAGCCACTCTTGAATTAATCAGGACAGATTTCAGGAGTATACACTGAAAAAAGATGATCTGCCTGTAAAACTTTGTGTGGTTGCAAACTCTTTGAAGTGGTTGTGATGGTTGTGATATAAAGTATAAAAGTAAACTAAACACTGTTTTCTGGTATTTAGTCCTATAAAATTTCCAGGAAAACTCATCACAAAAGGCACAGAGTTTATTCACACTGCCTTTTATCCTGGCTCTGGTGTTGATGCTGAGGCTGACTCGTCCATCAGGGTGATGAATTTGTATTTCTGCTTCAATTACACTCATTTAAACCAACAAAATAAATTGGCCTACCTGTGTGATAAAATTTCACAGCATTGAAACTCTGTGAAACCCTCTGAGCTGATATGATGAAGGAATTCTGATCAAACACTTGGGGCATGTGATCAGCAGGAACTCCTGAAATTTAAACTTTTGATCTCCTGCATCAGCACATTTTCTTGAATTGCACCTTCAATATCCCTGACAGTGTCTGAATACTCTTGCCTTGTAAAAATGGCCCCACATGGGTTACCTAGAAACCAGGATTATCAATGCCAAACAGCATCTGACTGCTCAAATTAATGGTTGGGAAGGTTAGGGAACTGCTGACTTCAAAGAAAAATTAAGCAGAAGAACTTCCAAAAAATCCTATCAGACAGCCAGCTTTGGAAAGAAAAATTTTAGGACTGAAAAAGAGATTTTAAACTGTTAGAACTGAACAGATAGCAGTGCTTTAATCAGGTTCTAGATGAAACTTAGAAAAAAAAACCCCAACCAAACAAAATAAAGAACTAAAGCAACAAAACAACACAAATATAACGAAAAAAACCCCCAAACACCCAAAAAAAACCAACCAAAAAACCCCAACCTAACATGCAGAGAAGAAAACAGGTCTCTAAACACTCTAAGACTTTTTCTTACCCTAATTACTTTCACTTGTGCTCACAACTGGGCAACCTTCTTTTAAAAATACATGTTCCACATTGTTTCAAGACGTACTTTTGGGCTGTAATTAGAGATAATGCTTCATCTGGCAACCCATTTTTGTTGGTTCCTGGAGCAGCATTTTAAAAGAAGCAGGGCAGGGTGAAACAGAGAGGATGTGGTCATGCACAGCCAGTAAAAGCTGCAAAATAGATATTGAAGGAAAGGTGGGGGAAAAAATCCATAGAATTCTGAAAAAAATGAAGATTAGTAAGGATTAGGGTGGTTCAATGCCAGAAAAGAGTTCTCCAACCCAAGCTGTCCAGTCTTTGACTTCTTTTTTTAACTCCTGACAAGCCTAGGCAGCAGTGCTTTGTAAGAGAGAGGCAAAAACCCGATGTGGCTGCCAAAAATTCTCCAAGATTGACTAAGAGGCTGAAATGGCTTCTGTTCAATGCCCCATTGAACTGGCTCTGCAGAGATGTGAGCAGACAGCTACGTGGGCATGGAAACTTTGACAGAAGAGTAGAATTTACTGTATTTATGTCACAAGTGACAAAACTTGTGCTCAAACCTCTGGCTTAAGAATATCAGAGTCATTAAGAGCATTCACAGTTTATTAGAACATCAGCTTTCCATCACCTTCAGATGGAGTTCAGGTTGAAACTATAATCCTTCTGAATTAACCCACATTTTTCTCAGATAGTCATGGAATTAAGTGCAAGAATTAAATCTTGCTTATTTTGGCACAGTCAGGTTTGGTGATCAAACCACCTTGAAATATTTATTTTTTTCTTTTCTTCCCTTCCTTTCCCTCCAGGTTTTTGTTTTCTGAGCACACTCTGAAACCACAAAACCACTTGTAGAAATTACCAGGGGCTGTCAAATGTGTTGGTTTGACACTGGTTGAAAGAAGTGATCAGATGAAATTAAAGAAGTGTGTGCAGAGGTGCACAGAAGATTCTTGGTGAACACAGAAAAAGAAAATGCTGGGAGCAGAAGGATGCACCATCATTCTCTAGCATGTACTGGTTTTGGAAGAAGAAACTTGAGCTGTCATCATCTGTATCTGGATGGTGTGTCAAGGAGATCTAACCACTTACAAAGGGTTTGTCTAAATAAGTATATTTTAGGGGGTTTTACATTACTAGAAACAAATAAACTGAATTCTTACTCTCCTTGCAGTTCCCACCACTCCCTTATCCATGTAACAGGCATTATTGTTGCCAAATGACCTTCCTGGCAATCTTGGCAAGAGACAGAATTATTAGGCCAATAATGATAATTTCTTGGTGATTTATGAAGGCAGCTTTTACTCTTGCATACTTCATCCTCCCACAGGCATACACAGGGTGTGAAATGCTCAAGCAGAGCAGTAGTACTAAACATACTTCAGAACAGGTAATTCCACTGCATTTTAACCTTTCAGACAATATTTTTTTTAAAAAAAAAAGTCCCTTTAGAATGAAGTCTTCACTGTACTAGAGCAGAATTCCAAGTAATGACAAAATCAGAGCAGATTTTCCAAAAAAAACTCTTTGCAACAAGAATCAAACCAGACATGATTACGCCAAGCACACTCTTAGCAATAAAGATTCAAATGTGCATCTATGAAATGATGAAGCTCATCTTGACAGGACTCAAATGCAGCTGGAGGTGCTCCTGCTTGGGCAGCTATGGCTTGGTCCTGTATAAAATACCATCAGTTCACAGCCACACACCCCAATTTCCACATGCAATGATTAAGACTTTCCTACACCCCAAGCCAATTAAAACATCTGCTGTCTTCACTGGGACCACAATTTTACAGCATTGAAGGGATAATCATTTCTCTGCCATCTCACATCATTAGCTCTTTTCTGCTAAGGAGGAAAAAACCCTGAATTGTGCATTGAAGACAGCCCTGATCCCATCACCAGCACATGTCACACTCCAGCGAGTCCTTCCACTGGGGACGAGCCCTGGGCAGTTCCACACCTGCTCCAACTCCTCCCCAACATATCTATTAGAAACTTTGACCCATAATTATCTTGGGCAAAGCCCCAGCTGCAGTTAATTACTGGATTTTCCTGTATCCATGTGCACATAGGAGCCCACACAGAGACCAAGCCCAGGGCAGAGATGTTTTGCTTGTTCTATTTCCCAGCTGTCAATCCAAGAGAACGCTGAGAAAAACTTACTAAAAACCTACCTAAATTAAGGAAAACCCCAGCAAAAAATCACCCTGCAATAAAACAGAGAGCTTTTTCTTAAACTTTGGTTCAACTAGGACTAAATGTTTTCCTTTCTTTGCCTAGGATAAGTTATAAAATAGGAATTACTGGGGTATGAGTTTATTTAAACATCTTGCACAGATGCTAAGCAAAAATACCTTATGATAGGTATGCATAAAAGGGGGGAATAAAAACCAACTCCATCAGTTTTATACATGTCAGCTTTTTTAGAGAGTATTTTTTCCTCTGGAGAGGAAAATTTCATCCGTAGCTCTATACAAAATCTCTTCTGGTTTCTCTGAGATATTCTCTGGGATGTTTTGTATATCAATACATATAAAATACCCCATGAATTCATTATACTGACTACAGCAATGTTCAACCAATGCATCTGAGATAAGAGACCACAGATTGCACACGCTTTTGTGGAAACACAGGATAGGCTTAGGAAAAGAAAAAAGTTTAAAGAATCAAGAGACTTCTTAAACAGAAAAAGAATGTAGGGAAAAAAAAAGGTAAAACATGATTTTAAATCTAATTTGAAAATACAATATACAGGCGTAAGTAACAATGGTGGATCCAAACACCTCAAGTAATGAAAAAATCCTCAAAAATGTGACCTTGGCCCTAAAACTAGAGGTTTTGGATCTTAGTAACCAGACAAGAGATACTGGGAGATAGTGAGCTCTGTATTCAGGAATATCTCTATGAACCAAATGGAAAGAACATCTTCTGCATTGTGCACTTCCAGAGATGTTTTCATTTGTGTCCAAGATTCAGAATTAGCAGCTTTTCCTCTGTTACTGAGATTAAAAGGGAGATTTGCTCGTGGTTGACTTTCAAAACTTCCTGTGTTTTGCCATGCTCTGTCTTACACAAATGCCTTTTTAGCAAAATGTCTGCAGGGGAGAACATTTTGTAATTGTTCTTTGTCCACAGGACTGAGCTAGTATTTCTGCCCTTTTTATAAACTACATGAAGAGAAAGATAGAAATCTTCATTTGTCTTTCTGCAGAAACATTTTGAGCAGCTATAAAAAAATTATTACAGCTTAAAACACCTTAATTTTTGACAGCAAAGTCCATCATATTTGTTGATCCAGGAAGAGTGAGTGATTAACCTAAACTGAAATCTGAATTTCACATCTGCCCTGCCCTCTTTGCTTTACATTGCTCCAGCAGCAGTGCTGTGGGACCACAGAGTCAGAAGGCCAGGAAGAACC